AGAGAGGCTAAGAGAGAGAGAGATCACCTTAATGCTATTGTGCTGATCAATGTAAACATTCTGTTCTTGTCCCTTTTGGAACTGTGTATGTGTGTGCGTGGATGTCTTCTTGTGTCCGTGCGTACAACAACGCCAGACCAACAAACCACACACACTGACGCAACCAAAACACGTACAAAAATATTGTCAATGTTACCTCTCTCTTTATGACTAAAAATTCCCCATCACGCACGCGCTGAATCACACCCCTCATACGTCAATATTTAGTGGGGGCATAACTCTTTCTTGGTAACGGAAACTGCAATCAAGCTTGCGTGTTCAATAGCTTCAGTTTGAACGTAAAAAATGATAGTAAATATAGCCCACAATTTTTAAGCATTAAATAAAATATTTTTTTTTTAATTTTTTTGGGCATTTGTAAATGAAACAGAAGAATTATTTCAAAATCTGCTAGCTACTGCTTTGATAATGAGTATTTTTAGTGTTTTAAATAAATACGAAACGAGGAATTTTTAAATGTAAAAACCATGAATTTTACAAACTATTTCGTGTAACATAAAAATGTATAACTTCATGAACTCTGCTTCAGACACGAAAACAAAAAGAGAGAGCGAGAGAGAGAGCGAGAAAGAGAGAGAGAGAGAGAGAGAGAGAGAGAGAGAGAGAGAGAGAGAGAGAGAGAGAGAGAGAGAGAGAGAGAGAGAGAGATGGAGAGAGAGGAGAAAATGCCTTCAATATCAAAAAGGTATGATGAAATTTGAATTAAATGATATTGTAACAAAATTCTAGTCATGATGATAACATCTAGATAAAAATACACGCAAGGTCACCAGAGTGAAATTAGCCGGTCCTAAGTCTTCACTCACTCACAATCGCAACATTACTCATTTTATGTTTGTATGAAAAGTGTTTAACCCTTAAACTGCACTGCTGCTTTTATTTATTTATTTATTTATTTATTTATTTATTTATTTATTTATATACACGAAGGTACATTGGTTTTGTGAGAATACATAGCATAGTACAGTAATTACACTCTTGTAAAGCCACTAGTACGCGCAGCGTTTCGGGCAGGTCCTTAATCTAACAGATAATTTTAAGTAGGTAAATTCTATCAGAATTAATAAAATTATAACAAATACATTGCAAGAAAAAAAAAGAGATGAGAGAGATTAGTAAGTATATTAAAGCACATTGGTTTATTAAAGCTCTGATTGATTACATTGACAGCTTGACTGGAAATTTAAACAAGATTAATAGACACCATACACCAGATTGACAGCACATATAAGAAGACAGCAATGATCACAATGATAAAGATGTTCAGATTGGGTACATAAAGATTGGGAGATTGGGTAGCAATAGATACAGTGCAATTTTAAAGCAAAAGGTAAAAAACTATGAAGATGAAATTAGGTACTTTTTAGTATTGTTTTTGAATGACGCAAAAGTTGGACAGCTTTTCAATTCAATAGGAAGTGAGTTCCATAGACTGGGTCCCTTCATTTGCATAGAGTGTTTACACAGATTAAGTTTGACTCTGGGGATATCAAAGATATATTTATTTCTGGTGTGGTGATAATGGGTCCTATTACATCTATCCAGGGAGAGTTTCAGAGCATGGTTTGCATTTAAGAACAGTGTTTTGTAAATGTAGTTGACACAAGAGAATTTGTTGAGTGAGATTAAGTTTAGCATGTTTAGGGAGTTAAACAAGGGGGGCTGAGTGTTGTCTGAAAGTTGAATTTGTTATTATTCTCATAGCAGATTTTTGCTGGGTGATGATGGACTTGATGTGGCTTGCAGTGGTTGAACCCCATGCATAGATACCATAATTAAGATAGGGATAGATTAGTGCATAATATAGATAGATGAGAGCAGAGTTAGGTACATAATGTCTGATTTTGGAGAGTATACCAACGGTTTTAGAGACTTTCTTAGTTATGTGTTGTATGTGGGTACTGAAGTTGAGTCTCTTGTCTAGGAATAGGCCAAGAAACTTTTTTATTGCTAATGTTTACATTGTCAATCTGAAGCTGAATTGCATTTGTAGACTTGCTTCCAAATAAAATGTAGTAGGTCTTTTCTATGTTAAGTGTTAGTTTGTTGGTTGACATCCATAAGTGGACTTTTTTTAGTTCAGCTGTCCTTTCTTTCGGTACCCATGATAGGAAATGGGTAACAATACAAATGGGGAAAAAATCACATATGATAATTTGATTTTGGGGTCCAGTGTCTTAATAATTAGAGCTTGAAGCTGGTTCAAATTGGAGGTAAAGAACTGTTGTGGAGCTGACCTGTGAGGTGGCGTTCAGCGAGCACCGGGAAGTAACTGGCTTGCATCCCCAAACTTTCCACGCGATCCTGAAATATATTTTTGGGGATTAAGTACCTATGAGAACATTTTTATTTGTAAGGCTTTGTAAATATTTATTTTTGTCGTTTTATATATATTCCATTTTGTGTGCGTGTGCTTTACTGTTTGTGTGTACAGGATCGGGCGAGAATCATCGAACCCGGGCCCTTAGGAGTACGAGCGTCACCCCTTTCGGCCGTGGGCCCTTGTGTATTTGTATATACTACTTGTTTACATTTGTTATGTTTGTCAACAGAATCTAGCTATTAGCTCTTGGACCCCGCCTTTCTAACCAATCTATTTATCCTCTATGATTTCTACTACATATACTTCTCTCTGACACACGCACACGTGTACACCAGTTGATTGACAGTTGAGAGGCGGGACCAAAGAGCCAGAGCTCAATCCCCGCAAGCACAACTAGGTGAGTACAACTAGGTGAGTACAAACACACATCCTCAGGAAGCAGCCCGTAGCAGCTGTCTAATACCCATGAACCTGTTTACTGCACGGTAAACACGTGCATTAGGGTGAAAAAAACTCTAGCCCATTTGTTTCCGCCTTGGCCGGGAATCAAACCCGGGCCCTTAGGACTATGACCCCCCCCCCCCTAGCGCTGTTCACTAACCCCCGAGGCCCTGTGTGAGAGAGGGAGTGTGTGTGTGTGTATGTGTATTTACCTAGTTTTACTCGGCTAGTTGTACTTGCGTGGGTTGAGCTCTGGCTCTTTGGTCCCGCCTCTCAACCGTCAATTAACAGGTGTACAGGTTCCTGAGCCTATTGGGCGCTATAATATCTACACTTGAAACTGTGTATGGAGTCAGCCTCCACCACATCGTTTCCTAATACATTCCATTTGTCAACCTCTCTGACACTAAAAAAGTTCTTTCTAATATCTCTGTGGCTCATTTGGGCACTCAGTTTCCACCTGTGTCCCCTAGTGCATGTGCTCCTTGTGTTAAACAGCCTGTCTTTATCAACCCTGTCAATTCCCTTGAGGATCTTGAATGTGGTGATCATTTCCCCCCTAACTCTTCTGTCTTCCAACGAAGTGAGGTTTAATTCCCGTAGTCTCTCCTCGTAGCTCATACCTCTCAGCTCGGGTACTAGTCTGGTGGCAAACCTTTAAACCTTTTCCATTTTAGTCTTATGCTTGACTAGATATGGACTTCATGCTGGTGCCGCATACTCCAGGATTGGTCTGACATATGTGGTATATAATGTTCTGAAAGATTCCTTACACAAGTTTCTAAAGACCGTTCTTATGTTAGCCAACCTGGCATATGCTGCTGCTGTTATCCTCTTGATATGAGCATCAGGGGACAGGTCTGGCGTGATATCAACCCCCAGGTCTTTCTCTCTCTCGGACTCTTGAAGTATTTCATCTCCCAAGTGATACCTTGTATCTGGTCTCCTGCTTCCTACCCCTATCTTCATTACATTACATTTGCTTGGATTAAACTCTAACAGCCATTTGTTCGACCATTCCTGCAGCTTGTCCAGGTCTTCTTGAAGCCTCAAGCTGTCCTTCTCTGTCTTAATCCTTCCCATAATTTTGGCGTCGTCAGCAAACATTGAGAGGAATGAGTCTATACCCTCAGGGAGATCATTTACGTATATCATAAACAGGATAGGTCCAAGTACAGAGCCCTGTGGGACTCCACTGGTGACTTCACGCCAGTCTGAGGTCTCACCCCTCACTGTAACTCTCTGCTTCCTATTGTTTAGGTACCCCCTTATCCACTGGAGCGCCCTACCAGTTACTCCTGCCTGTTTCTCTAGCTTATGCATCAACCTTTTATGGGGTACTGTGTCAAAGGCTTTCCGACAGTCCAAAAAAAATGCAGTCCGCTAACCCTTCTCTTTCTTGTTTAATCTTTGTCACCTGATCGTAGAATTCTATCAATCCTGTAAGGCAAGATTTACCCTCCCTGAACCCATGTTGATGGGTTGTCACGAAGTCTCTTCTCTCCAGATGTGTTACTAGGTTTTTTCTCACAATCTTCTCCATCACCTTGCATGGTATACAAGTTACGGACACTGGCCTGTAGTTCAGTGCCTCTTGTCTGTCACCCTTTTTGTATATTGGTACTACATTAGCAGTCTTCCATATTTCTGGTAGGTCCCCCGTTTCCAGTGACCTACTATACACTATGGAGAGTGGTAGGCAAAGTGCTCCTGCACACTCTTTTAATACTCATGGCGAGATTCCATCCGGCCCAACAGCTTTTCTCACATCCAGCTCCAATAGGTGCTTCTTGACCTCATCTCTTGTAATTTCGAACCTATCCAAGGTCACCTGGTTTGCTGCCACCTCTTCTAGCGCCACGACATCTCCCTGTTCTATTGTAAAGACCTCCTGGAACTTTTTGTTGAGTTCTTCACACACCTCTTTGTCATTCTCTGTGTACCTGTCCTCGTCCACCCTAAGTTTCATCACCTGTTCCTTCACTGTTGTCTTCCTCCTGATGTGACTGTGTAGTAGCTTAGGTTCGGTCTTGGCTTTATTAGCTATATCATTTTCATACCTTTTCTCAGCTGCTCTTCTCACACTGACATACTCGTTCCTGGTTCTCTGGTACCAGGTGTGTGTGTGTGTGTGTGTGTGTGTGTGTGTGTGTGTGTGTGTGTGTGTGTGTGTGTGTGTGTGTGTGTTTGTGTGTGTGTGTGTGTAACTTCTCATTATAAAGAAGTTATAAGTCTGCAACATCGGCGGCGTATCTCACCAAGAAGCACTCACGCACCGCCTCATGTGTTCTATAGAAACATTACCGGACTCCATGAACGCAACACCCTAATACCGCCTCCAGTATTGCCAAAACCCATTTACACAGGCTCCAGTAGTTGTGTGACTTCCCAGAGAGTAACATGTGCCAGGGCTGAGCAGGAGAGTGCGTGTCGTGACCCTCTGATGAATATGTAATGATCTGGGTACTCTATCTTGCGTGATGAGTTCTTCATTACTCTGTCTCGTTAGGGGTTCGCTATGTCGTGTGTGTCTTCACAAGCTGAGCAACATAATACAGGCCCATGCTCTCGTGTTCACAAGTATTTCTGTACGTATTTGATTATGCATTTATGCGGCCTATCTGCATAAAATAATGTATTCGTTATTTACTCTCATACATCTGACTTGCCTGATTTATTTATTTATTTATTAAACGTGAAAGTGTGCTTGTTCCCAGGTAAATATATAATATTCAGGTAAATATATAATATTTTCAACAGCGTATGTATATATATCTTCGAGAATATACGTGTGTTTTCGTGTTTAATTATACATCTTCAGAAGGATCAGATGGATATATATAAATATATATATATATATATGTCGTACCTAGTAGCCAGAACGCACTTCTCAGCCTACTATGCAAGGCCCGATTTGCCTAATAAGCCAAGTTTTCATGAATTAATTGTTCTTCGACTACCTAACCTACCTAACCTAATCTAAGCTAACTTTTTCGGCTACCTTACCTAACCTAACCTATAAAGATAGGTTAGGTTAGGTTAGGTAGGGTTGGTTAGGTTCGGTCATATATCTACGTTAATTTTAACTTCAATAAAAAGCAATTGACCTCATACATAATGAAATGGGTAGCTTTATCATTTCATATGAAAAAAAATAGAGAAAATATATTAATTCAGGAAAACTTGGCTTATTAGGCAAATTGGGCCTTGCATAATAGGCTGAGAAGTGCGTTCTGGCTAATAGGTGCGACATTTTATATATATATATATATATATATATATATATATATATATATATATATATATATATATATATATATATATATATATATATATATATATATATATATATATATGTATTTATATAGACAAAAATAACATCACTTAAACTGTCACAAATTATTTTTTTTCGAAACTATAGCAGGTGATCATTATAAAAATACCATCAGGTAAAAATTGGACACTGATACTAAGTAAAAGACTTACTGCAAATGAAAACGGAGGTTAACCACAAGAAAGTTCAGAACAAATTTCCCCCAAGTACTTTAACATGAAATGAGAACGAAAAAGAATTTAGGTCACGAAGCTCTGATATTCCAAAGGATACTTGTATTTGTGAGATGACGCTCTCACGACGTGCACAGGAACGAAGTTGATGTAGAGAGTAAGATTGAGGTAGTTGACACAGGAGAGGATTAAAGGGGAGGTAGTAGACACAGGCAGGGAGAAACGAGGAGGTAGTATAAACAGGAAATAGACTAGCGAGGATATGGCTGTAGGAATCATACACCGATGGAAAGTAGTGAGGCTACAGTAAACACTGAAACGGTATATAGCGATCTACGTGGCATACCCGAAAGATTTTGGGAATGTAGTATAAACACAGGATGGGACAAATAGGGGGAGGAAATAGGTTATGCAGCATGCAAGATGGGGGGAGGGGGGGAGGGGGAGGAAGGGTTGAGGGAGGGTGAAAATAGTTCCCACATGAAGCATGGTGAAGGCACCATTACAGAAGGATAATGTGGGAAGTGGTATACACCTCCCACATAGTGCAAAAATAGTGCAGATATTTTCGCCAGTGAGAGTATAGATACTAGAAATATTGGGGCTGAAATAACTCTGTTGAATTCAGAATTTTGACCTACTAAGCAATCTTTAAGGAAGTTAAAAAACTTAGCATTAACTTAAGCATTAATGCCAACACACCTTGGATGAATGAACTATCAACATGAACGAAAAAATGTGAAAATTTTATTTTCTACCTATTTTCTCTATGTGAAAATAGATCGACTGGAAGAACTAAAGATAAACATTACAAACTAGCAAGCAGGACGAATCAGGAGGTAGAACGAATAAGATTTTCATGGAATCAATTGGTAAGATTAACGATAACTTAAGAAAATTACAAGATTAGGTGAGTAAAAGGAAGGAACGAGTCAGAGAGTCGGGTGAATCATAGAGAAGAACGAATTAAGATATTGGATGAATAAAAGGATGAGCTGAATGAGAGGAAAGAATGCATTAAGGAGAAGAATGA